ATTTTCAATACAAATCGGCAATTTCATACTTTAACCCCTATTATTAAGTGACGGGACGAACAAGTCGTGCGGCCGATTATAAGCTACCTCGCCTGTCCATATCAGTTGCAGTGCCACACACGAGCTTTAAATCGCAAAGATCTGAAGTGCACTGCCACTGCGCCCGTCACCCTGAGACATAAGTTGACAAGTCCCATGTGCCTGTAATTTCACCAACACCCTTCAAAATAGGACCACAGAAATAGTGACATTACTGCTTGGCGCCAGAAACAGGTAAGATGGCAGTACTATCTTAGACGAACTCTTTCACTCTACTGCTAACTAAGATTTACGACAAATATTTAGTTGTAAATAGTTTTTGCCCTCAAATTCGGGCGTTAATGAATTTGAACCCTATTTAAACCCGGCGTTAACAAACCGCTAGGTTAAAACCCGGGCTCTTGTCCATCTCTGTAAGTGACTATTGTACTTACATATTATTCGTATAATTTAATAATTCATTGCTATAAAATTCACAAATGTATCTATTTATACATTTATTGATACACCATTTCTATTTTGCATATTTTAACCATAACCAACGGTCTGAATAGGGGGTTCCAAATGAGTAGATAAATGTCTACATATAGATACAAGGAGTGGCATATGTAAGTAAGTACAAGCGCGTGGTCATTTAATAACGGACGCACTCAACTTAGCCCCGCACTAGGAAAACCATGTGTCACGGGTGCCATGTAGGTACACACACATAGACAACCACAAATTACACCCAAACTCACGAGAGAAATAAATGTAGGCCATACAAATATTTCTCCCGGCCCGGGAATCGAACCTAGGACCTCTGTGGCAGTCCGGCATGGCAACCGTTCGGCCACGGAGGCAGTTTGTAGCATGGACTGATTTAAAACCACCAAATGTTAATTAATTACTTTTTCGGATTCCGGATTTCCGGAAATAGTTTTACTGCATCAAGGGATAATAAAAATATCCACAATGTCCGCAAAGTTAAAACAAACTATTGCTTGTAGTTTATTAAAAAAATCTTTACTTTGATCATGGGCCAATAACTCAATAGGACTGCTAAACGCGGTACAAGAAAGAGTAGTCTGGTATTTAGTACCTATAATAGAATACCAGATGTCGCGACGAGTACCACATAGCTATTTTTTAACCAATTTGTTTTACATTGACTATATGGTGTCGTTTATTGTATACAGTTTATGGATGCTGCTGCTGCTATTTTTTATTTTCTTTAGAATTAGCTCCATCTACCCATTTTAGCTGGGTTTCATTTTTAAATTTATTTTGTAATGCCGAGTTCATGCAAGAAAGCGAAAAACGCAAGTGAAAGACTCGTGAACCCATGCCATTATTGAATTATCAAAATTATTTTCTGAACTTGAACAAATATGCAAATATTTGTTAAAGTTCAGAAAATAATTTTAAGTCATGATCAAAATTTTTTAATTACAAGGAAAAGAACAAACCACTTATATTTTATATAGTATATATCGTATAGCGCTATCTAGATACAAGACGAGATTTTGACCTTTTTCAGAGATACGATTTATAGTTTGGAGATTAGCAATCCTCTTGAGTTGTCAGCCCATGCTTTGGTGAAAGGTTAGTTATCTGCATTTCTTACATGGCGCCACTAGATTTACTTTAAAATCCAACGTCAGCTTCCTATGAGTAGTTTATACGCAGACATTTATCGACTCATTTGGAACAACCTATTCCGACCATTGTATGTAACAGACCAAACCGAACTTAAAATTCCACACACTCTTCAATTAGGTATTACAAATTTGTGAATTCTACACACCCTATACATTAAAGTATGTAGTCAACGTAAAACTATGTAGTCAGTTATATAAGTATTTGTATTATAAAGCTGGTGCATGATTTGATGTTGTTTGTTGCAGTGTTCGAGATGCTGGTGTGTGCACGGCAGTGCGCGCGACGACAGTCGCTCTCGCTCACATTTGGCGAATTCTGCGTGTTTGCCGCGGAACTTAGACGATGGTCACGACAGACCCGGCAGTAAGTCATCTTTACCTAGTTCTTAGAATATAATGACAATACTACTATTACTAATACTATAAATCTAGTCCATACACCAAAGGCAAGATATGTATAAAAACACACAGAAATGTTGCAAATTCTCACAAGTTACATACTACTTCTCAGGTGGAAATAGGTTGCACCAAACATCACCTGTTGCTTTCTCTATTCGCTAAAGAATCGATGCGACGAAGATTCTCATGCACTGTTGTCTCTTCCGGGTGTATAAGAACAAATTCAAAATGTATATGGACACGTCCAAACTAGAGCAGTAGGGATTTTTGATACCGGGCTCTCCTAGTTTACGCTCCAGTCTTTCACAAATATTAAATAAATAAGCTCTGCTTATTAGTTCTTTGTCGTTTATTGTGTGAAAAAACAAACAATAACATGGGACATGATAATCAGACATCATTATTTAAGCAACACCTTTTCCTTATTTTGATGTTTCAATGTATTTTATTTAATAAGTAATAACAGAAAAGAATGAATTTATAAAACATTTTTTTTAAAAACGTTAATGTGAATTATAATAATAGAAGTGTAACATGTATTATTATTTTCTCTTATGACATAAAAGTAATGTATTACTGGTTTTCGTATCTGAGCTATAAAGTCCTAATATTTATGTTGGACGTAATTTATAGTCATTAGTATAAGCCTTACAAAGGAAGGCGGAGACCAAGGTATACCAGTTACAATTCATTTTTTGACATTTATTGTTTCGGCTGTTAATCATTCTCAAACGTGACTATTATATCATGATCCCTCGTTGTTATGACATATTTTGATGAAAATATCTTAACAATCTTTAAAGCGTTGCCAATGATAGTTTAGAGAGGTAGTTTCAAGGTTTCTTAAGTTTTTCAACATGATTATAGATTTCTCAATTGTTGGTTTGCGCCATGAGCAATGACGCAGTATTATACGCGTTATGTAGTATGTAATTGATATGGTATAACATTTTTTCATTTTCATGGCCTTGTGCCTATTGCGCATAATACAATGGTGCAATCCTGTGGGTGTATGTACCACAGCATTCTGAATAGGTAGTTAACTTCAGGTTGTCTATTCCTTCAGCTCTATACTTGGATGAGCTCGGTAGCCCTGCGGTTTGAGATGATCTCGAGATCGATTCCCGCTTGGGTCAATTTTGATAACTAGTTTGTCTAGATTAATTCTGGTCTGGGTGTTTAGGGCATTGCCCCAGAAGTTAATTTCTTTGTTACTCATAGTACAGGATAATATTGGGCCCAGGGCATTTGCATTGGGGCTTTGTTTCCAATAGTTCTATTTTGGGATGTAACTATAAAATTTTGGTATACCTGAAAAAATGGACACATGCACCAGAGTTGTTTTATTGTGTATATAAGTGTGTATAAGACACTTGTCTACCACTTGCACCGAAGAAAATTCCGCAGAGGACAAGCATAACTTTAATTAAGTAGATACCTCTCTGTGTAAGTAAGTAGGATACGCATTTGTAAATAAGCCATACTGAACTCAATATTTGTTTTTAAACTTGATTCAATAATATCCATGTACCTCTATATAGTTACACAAAATTTAGATGCAGGTTTAACATGTCCGCTTATGAGTATAAACATTAACAAACGTACAAATTTACAAGAAACAATACGAGGTTATCTGGAAAATGTAGGAAAATAAAATTAATTATATAACTAAGCCGTAAGTTTAACAAGCTTGAGGCGCGAAATGTCGTCTCTTGTATACGACATTATTGTTGCGTCACGTATGCCAATAACTTTTGAGAAGTGAGAAGAAGCGTCGGCGCACGCGTCCACTTTCTGAATAACAATAAACAAGTTACCCGGCGCAAGTGTCGTGGCGATTAGTGAATTTATACTTGCTCTGACACAAATTATCTAATTTGGAACCAGGTAATCGGTGTGATTGCCTGGCACATTAGTGATACCGAATCTGTACCGAATACCGAATTTGATCTGAACCTATAACTGTACACGCTGTGTGCATAAGTGTGTGTCTGAACAGGACACTGCTCCGGCACTAGCCCGGAGAGATAGTAGATAAGAGCTAGATATCCTCCGGTCCAGTTGCGTAGGACCTTGGGAACTGGAGAGACGCCGTTTTTCGGGAAGTCAGCGTGCCTTACAGCTCTGCCACTAAAGAGGAGATTTGGTAGACGGTTTAAAGTCGACTGCTCAGCGGTGTCAACCGTTATACAGCTCCAGTACCTATCTGGAAAATATGGAGGGTGCTGCACGTGCATCCGGGGCGGCTCACTTAAGGCCTTTCAGAAAACCGGATTACGTCCCTGCAAACGGGCTGATTTTGGGTTAGGACCTGACTTAGATGGTCCCTGCGCGGGCATGCTCACGCAGATCATAGAGCCCTTCTCATATACCCGAAGGGTCGATAGGGAAGATCACTATAATCAAAATTAATATAGAAACATATGGGGCTGTACATGCTGAGTTCAGACCTTTACTTTAGGTATGTCTATCAAGACATCTTAATACCCAACAAAATAATTACAGGGTACAGTCAAGATGGAATATCGACACGCACGAATACTCGTTGATATAGATCTAGAGAACGTGTCCTGAATATCAGATGTCGTGACGGAGGTTACGTCACCCGAAGATTATATTGGCAACTATTGAACCACGAATTTGTTACATGTGACTTTAAACGCTCTTGCAGTATATGCAGGGTTCGAAGGAATAAATAATAAAATATGATAATTAATTATCATTAATCACGGTAAATGTCATCATGAATGTACCTTGATATTTACACAATTATAATTGAATGGTTGGGCCTACCGCCTCTCAAGCAGAGGCCATAAGTTAGAATTCGAGTTCGCACCTCTGAGTTTCTCGAAATTTAATTTGAAATTTTCCATGAGCTTTTCGGTGAAGGAAAATATTTTGATTAAACCTACTCGTCGTAGAAGATTCACAAAACCCACATTGGGCCAACGTAGCGGACTATGGCCTAAAACCCTCGCCTGAGAGGAGACCCGTGCCCAGCAGTGGAACGTTTGAACAGGTTGATAGTGAACAGAATGCTACTGCTAGCAACGTAGTGCCATGTTATCAGAGTTGTATCCAAATGTATCAAATGTCAATTTCAAAAAAAGTCTCAAACATCAAAATCAACAAAATCGTTTTCCTAAAAGTTTTTTTTCGTGTTTATCACAGACATATATCTAGATAGACGCCGCAAGTACAGCAATTTGTATGAAAACCAAGCGTGCCACATTTTTTTACACACTATGACGTCACAAGAACTATTTACTGATGGAAAAATCCTTCCGCTCGCTCTAAATCGATTGATTGAACGGAAGACACGTAAACACGCGTATTCCATTCAATTAATCGATTCTAATTAGAATATTTTTTATTCAAGTATTTGTTGATTAGAAGTAGTTGTAATATTAATATAGTAGAAAAATACTAGAAAAAGATAGTTAAGTCCTTTATTTTTACTTGTTTTTAAAAAATGTTGATTACTTAAAAAAATTGAGACTAATTTTTAATCGACTTCAATTATAAAAATTATTGTCCGTCCAATAAAATGAGCTAATTATACTACATCTTTTTGTAATAGAAGATCTTATCGATTAACTTAAATAATGAAAACGCGCGTCAATATATGAACTGCGACTGTCTTAATTAATTTTACGAGATTGTTTTCTGTTGGTAATTGATCAAATTGATGAATGGCAAGACAAATGAAAATGTTACTGCTGACAAAATATGGTAAAATCTTATTAATCAGAAGAGGTTTACTTAATGACGGCCTCGTGTGAAATTTCTGTGATTTGTTTATTATTTCTCGGATTACTAACTCTGCTACTCTGCATATGTGGATAGAATCTTAGGTGGAATAAACTAGACCACCATCGTCCTCGAAAGCAACGAACTCATACATACTCGTATGACCAACTCCAGGTTTTTGTAAAGACATGGCACTGTTAATTCTTTGCATTATATATTTTTTTGTATTACGCGTACTACAAAAAATTTGTGAAATTTAGCAATCTTAAAATAGTTACACGGATACAATGGAAACAATATTATTTTCAGTTTTATTGTCTTAATATTGATTTGTAATGATTAAAAGTTAAGTTGAACTTATTTATTGACATATATCTCTTAAATATTTTGTTTATTTTTTATTTAATTGCACATGGTAAATGATTTTTCGTTAAAGAAAAATACGCGATGTTTATTTCGTAAAATTATGAAAGCGCCATCTATATGCTCCTTGGCGAAACTAACAGTTGACACTACTATAATTCCGAATTGACAACGTGACTATCAAAACTCAACTTGTTTTATTTATTTTTCTTCATGAAAATGCGGAATAATTATTGAAAACAATGTAATTTTAATAGATTTTATTATTACATACTTTTATTTTTTTAACTGTCGAAATTCTCTGAATGTAAATAACATGAAGTACTTAAACATTATACTACAATAAGACGATTCGGAACATCAAAAAAGAAAGAGATGGCATTATATAGTTCACATATCGTTATCTCTTTCCCATTTTTAGTAAGGAATAGACAATATTGGGAAATCATTCGTTCTTTCAATCACTTTTGCAATAATACATTACTTGGTTGACAGGTTCGTCATGGTACGAATATGAGTAATATTATAATAAGATTGTTTTTGGAAAGGTTATGGTAGGCCCCCTGATAATAGATACTACAAAATTGAAAAAAAAAAGAAACGTTACTAAACGTTATAACATAAGTGTTATAGAATTTTTTTATAATATTGCTAAGGTCACAATAATTTCCATCCCTTTGTTTTCAAAATCGATCAGAATCGAGAACAGTGTTGCCTGACGTATAAATCACTAAATGTTACATTTGGCCAAAGAAATGTACAAGCGGCCGTAGCACGAAACTGAATGCATTATACAAAAGTGCGTTCGTTCGATATTCATGACGTATTAACAAAGGGTCGTAAATATATCGCACCAAGTAAAAGTCGCAGTGTATTACAAATATGAGGCATACACTCTGTTGCAAATTCGTTTTGTCGAAATTCATACGAAACCAAAATAATTGTTTTTAAAATTAATTATGCATCTTCTGATTACAAAATCACTTGCCCGTGAAAGGAAACGTTCCTGTTTACCCGTTTACCCACAGTTATGGTGCTTTGCAGTTTATAGTGGCACAATATGCATTTTTCGCGTTTTCGACTGGTGTTTATCTACAAAACGGTCGAGAGTGTTCTGAAGTGTAGCAGCGGCAAGTGAATTTCACTTACTTTGGGCACGCGAAGTACGTACATTTGCGGCGTCTATCTAGATATATTTTTTTTTTTTTTTTTAATTTATTTATTTATTTATTTATTTCAGGCAACTAGGACCCATAGATACATACCTTACAGACTAACATAACATATATGTCTGTGGTGCTTATAAAATTTTCACACAGTTTGTCTTTTTTAGCCAAAATTAATGAGATAAAACTATGAATCAGCACGTATAATTATCATAATAATTATAAAGAAATTAAATAACTTGATAATTTCGAAGCCTGAGTACCTTATGTAGTTGAGTAGCATAATCGATTGCAACGCTTGCATTGCAAGGCTAACAATAATTGTTAAATCCTGTTTCTTGGAACAAAATTTCGCAAGTAGTGTTCGATGTTTTTATTAGCGAAACTGTTTTATCCAAATGTGTGTGTGAGCAATAAATGATTTTCAAAACCAACACGTCACTGCCACTGCGCCTGAGACATAAGTCGACAAGTCCCATATGCCTGTAATTTCACTAGCACTCTTATCCTTCAAAAGCGGAACACAGTGATACTGACATTACTGCTTGGCGCCAGCAATAGGTAAGGTGTCAGTACTTCCCTGCTGCTAAATCCATATGTCCATAAATCCTTGAAATGCGTTAGATATTTTTTTGCCACAGTCCAATTAGAATTAGTCGTGTTGGTGGGAAAGTTTTAATTGCCGTAAGGGCACAGACGGTGCCTTTGTCGAGTTTGCAATGCATCATTCATCATTATAAATCCGTCGATGACGTTAACTTGAACCAATGCAGTAGCTTGCCGCACCCGATCTTGAACCGTCTGCCTCACCGCTGCCGGGTGCCCACGACACACGCGAGCATTGACCTTTCAATACCACACATGGAAACATTTTTCATGCACTGAATCACGACACACAACTTGCACTTCTATACTATGCTCGATTTATCTCGTAAACAAGACTTACACACTGGATAGTACCATATTACCAGCGACTAGGCGGATAAAACGTACTTTGCTAGCTCGTATTACCGCGAAGTTAGAGTACAGCTAGGCTTACATTATTAATTGAATTTAATCCGTTTAGTCGTTGCAACGTTGAGTAGCAAAGATCTGTCCTTTTCGCAGTTGTGAAATATAGTTTCTCGTCCTAACTTGTGTGGTCTCTTGCAGGAACCCCACAAAGCCAGAATCACCCAACTGGAGCCTCGACAAAGAACTGCGGGATTTAGACGCGATATGCAAACACGTGAATGGTAAGAACACTACAATGTTTTTTTATTACTCGCACATTGCCTGTTTATTGACCTTTTATGTCATATTAAATGTTTATGCCATAAAAAATGTACAATGACAAAGTAAATACGAAGTTGACACAAGAAATTTTATTTTTATATTTTGTTCGCGTCTTGTTTCGTCACATGAGGACGCGGAATCGCTTTATTTCGCGTTGCGGAAGGTCGATTGGAGACAACGTCGAGGCGAATCGTGAATAGTGACTAATATTTCGCACGGTACCAATCCAGAAATACGCGTCTGGTAGTGCCTGCAGCACAGCTAACGTGTCTTGCTTGCGACTTTAGTAAAATCGCTGTACGGTGTTGGTTTAACATCTTTACGTATTGACACACTCCCACTACTTGTAATGTATTAGATACTTACGCGTTTGACTTCGCGTTGTTCGCCGCACGTGACTCCCTGGAAATGATGCTATGGCATTTCTTTGTCAAATCAATTCATTATATACAGACTAAACAGTCTGTAGTAGTTTAGATATGGGAGGCGTTAGTTGTTAAAACTATTCTTTAATGTAACTGTTTTGATTACTAAGATAAATACCAACGTCCAAACAATACAACATCATTAATTATTGTAGCACATTTCAAACATTTATACTGCGCAGCGTGTAATGGCAGGAACGATCTTAATTTTCCACATTTTGTTCGTTTGATTCACGGTCGGATTGCTTCGAATTCGCACTTGTTTTATAAACACTAACTACATTGTTTGGTTAATTTCAACAACCAGCATTAAGTTTAACCCTTTCATGAACATTAACAGCGTTTACCCTAAAATTTAATATTATATTGTGATAGTACGGGGTACCCCGTTTCGCTATATGGATCTCAAAAAACTAACTACGGGCCTTACAGTGCGATTTCCAAGTAGTATCTGTATAGTTGCCGCCTACTGCTTTTCCATAGACAAGTATCAACAACGTACTGACAAAATTCAATGATTAAGAGCCTATGTACACGGCGTATTTTATACGCGCCGTAAACGCACGGCATCTGCGCGTATAAGCGCCGCAGACGCGCTGTAGCCACACGTATTAATTTTAGTTTTGTTTGATAATTTCAGTTAGTTTTTGAAATGAAGCAACTACATGAAATTCTGGCGGACCCGAACTTGGGTATGGACTCGCCGGGGTTTGTAGTTAGTTGCAGGGACGAACACGTTCATGTGCCCCGGTGGTGTGTGGCCGGGGCGTTCGTCTCGTGCAGCTAGCGCGTCTTAGTAGCGGTCTAGTTGAGGTCCTTCCGGCCGCGTAGGAATCCGGGAACTGGAGAGAAACGCCGTTCATTCGGCGTCAGGAAATGAGCGTGTCTTACAGCTCCGCCACCAATGAGGAGATTTGGTAGTCGACTTAAGTCGGCGGCTCAGCGGTGGCAACCGTTAGTCGTGCGGAGCGCGACGGGAAGTGAGCGTGCCGTACAGCTCCGGTGCCTATCTGGAAAATAGGGAGGGTGCTGTACGTACACCCGGGGCGGCTCACCTAAGGCACTAGCCTTATAGAGAACCGGATGAAGTACGTGTAAAACGTGCTAATCCGGGTATAGGGCTTAGATAGTCCCTATGCGGGTTCGCTCGCACAGGTCATAGTGCCCTTCCCGCGTAACCAAGAGGTTGATAGGGAGAGGCACTAAAAACAAAACTTATGTAAAAACATATGGGACTGTCCATGAAAGAGTTAATGCTGTAATAGAGATAAGGTATTTGACAAAGAAATGGAACCTTTCAAGCTAATAAATAATCCGAGAAGTGTCTGTTTATCTGTTGTCGTTATAAATATTTTATAAATGTGAATGAGAATATTATGTCATTTGGCAAGGTATCACGGAAATTGAGCCACACTGCATGGGCTGCATCACACATTACATTATACGAGTAGTAGTACTAAATCGCGGTGCGGCAGGCAACAAATTATATTCCATTAATACTTCCTGCTTCACTCTTGGATGAATAGTTTCCCAGTCGGCAGGGCCAATTAAGTGTCATCATGACAGTATTTTGTTGGTGATCAAGGAATTACGAGAATGAATTAGATATCATAGTACTAAGATAATGATATGACAAAGAAATGAGGACACCTATTGTAACAGATGTATAGCCTACTTTATTCAATCAAAACAGTACCCACATTTCAGTAATAATATGCATCGTATAAATATACTAACAAAGACGTAAAGTTTACAATTGTTTTAGAGTATGATGCTTCATCTCAATATACATATATATTTTTTTTATTGTACCTACGAACGCGTGACATTCTTTACAAGTAAGTTATCATGTCGACTTAGCAACCACGGGTGTAATATGCAAGTAAAATCATTTATTGTCTTTTAAATATCTTAACTTGTTCATCCACTCGTAAAATCGGCGTATGTTGTGTAACTACCAAAATAAATTCAAATACGAATTCATTTTGCTTCACTAGTATTCTCTATGTTCGCTGTCGGATCAAGACTGAGCTGCCAGCCACAGCGTTTCCGCACTGTATCCGATTCGTATTCGTTTCGTATCCGAGACCATGC